ATGGTTTGGGCTAGATATTTGCCAAACACCTGTAAATATAAGCAAACCATAATTTAAGCCAAAACCAAGATTTTGGAGTCCAAAACCATGATTTCAAAATAAGCAAATTCATTATGCTTCTTGGCACAAATCTGGGGTTGTTGGTATCATGATTATGCCTTGTCAAAGGACCCCCAACCGTATATGACAAAAAACACCCCATATTCAATTACAAACTTCCTTCTTTTTATTCCATCTTTGCTCCTTCAAAAGCATTCATCTTCTCCAAAAATATTTTTAATCTTACATTTTATAAATATATACACACACATAGTAACAATTAATTAATTAATTAATTGTATTAAATATCAGAGGTAGTATGTTGTTAAAAAAATTAGTTGTGAAAAAATGTTATGGGATTTTATATTTAAAATCTTTAAGGCAAAATAATATTTTTCTGTTGGCGGAAAAAAATCATTTTTCTATAAACATATTTAATCTTATATTTTATAAATATATATACACATATTAATTATTTCTTAATCACTTTTTCTTATATATTATTTATTATGTTGGCAAAAAATATATTATCAACAAATTTATTACTTCAAATTAAAATATATTATAAAATCTATTTTTATGTAATTATCATATTAACTTATGTCATTTTTAGTAATTTGCACATATAAAAAGTGTTTCTGATAACAGCTATCCAAACACTCTCATTTTGTCAAAATCACTTTTTCACAAAATCTATTCTCAAAAATAGCTTTTTTTCCAGAAGTTATTCTCCAAACTTTGGTTTGGTTTTATCCAAATACCCCTGAGTCACACTTATCCAAATTCTTGCAATATATAAGCCGAAAGCACTAAGTTGGAGCTTTTAGAAAAAAGTATCTTTGAAATATAAGCCCATTTACTTTCACAGCCAATCCAAACATATATTTCACGTATGAAGTTACTTTTTTAGTGAAGAAGTCAGTTTGGGAGCCACTACTTTAATTCCTTTATATTAGTAGTGAAAGAAGTTACTTTTTTTTCTAATCTCACTTTTGCAAAAGTCAGATTAGGTAAAAATCAAGTAGTGTAATATGATTTATGTTTGAATTGACTTTTGTAAAAAAGTTAGTTTGAGAAGCTAAAACTTGCTTTGATGATTAATAAAATAAGTAAGTTTAGATGTAAAATGACTAAAAAGGACATGAACTTTATTAAGTAATATATATTTATATTATATGTTTATAATGTGATAATTGCCATAAAATAATTAAAATAATAATTATAAATATAAAAATAGCTATCTTTGAGAATAATTAAAACTGATATATTTAAATTTTAGGAAAAATTGAGAAAAAGTCTTTCTATCAAAAATATAATTAGTGAGAATGATCTAAATCATAATACACGCATTCTATATGTATAACATTTATGCTTAGTATATAAAAATTTTCAATTACTTCTTACCAATTAAATTTTTAAAAGAACATTTTTCTTTGTTATCTACAAATTTTATAAATATGATAGTAAATAATAAAGAATAATAAATTTATTTTTTAAAAAATGGTTTCATTATAAAAAATGATTTTTTTAATGTTAAAAGCCAACTCAAGTGGCTGGGTTAAAAAAGAAAAGGAACTCAGATCATGCATAAAGCATTCTCTCTCCTCCCTTGCTCACATCATGTGGGCTGTACTTATGCTGTGTAGAAGCCAAAAGCAATAAGTTGGAGCTTTTAGAAAAAAGTTACTTTTAAGCATTTCCATTTACTTTCACAATTAATCCAAACATATATTTTAAGTATGAAGTTTTTTTTTTTACCTTTTTCCAGTAGAGAAATCAATTTGGGAGCCACCATTGTGTTTAGGTTCACTACCATTCTTTACGATGTCGTTTTTAGAGTAAAATGGTGGGTATTGAATTTTTTTTCTTAAATAACATCTAGAATCTTGAAGTCAATAGCATCAAGTAACATAAAGTAATTTTTTAATGCTAAAATAATTTTTAATATACCCAGCACCATAAAATATTTTTTTAGCAGGAACATCCAATATTTTAAAATAATTTTTATACTAATTTTTGATATACTTCATATCTTAAAATATTTTTTTAAGAGCATCCAGAATTATAAAATAATTTTTAATACACTTAACATCTTAAAATATTTTTCCAACAACATCCAACATTCTGGGGTATTTTTCTCAGTAGCTACTAGCACCCAAAACTTAAGACATTATGTGTTGCTCCAAAAATACTTTAAGGTAACAATTATGTTAGGATATTGGACACTGTTGAAAAAATATTTTAAGATGTGAAGTGTGCCAAAAATTATTTTAGCGTATTGAGTACTCTTCAAAAAAATATTTTTAGGTGATAGGTATACTAAAAGTTATTTTAGGATACCTCATCCCACTAAAAAATAGTTCAAGATATTAGATATTATTTTTTGAAAAACGAACATTCAATATGATTAAAAAATTTTAAAAAATATTTCAAAATACTGAATTTTTTAATGTCATTTTGATTGTAAAAATGGCACTATGTCGACTGTCGAGTAAAGGAGGACAACGGACCTAAAAAGAGCAACGAAGTGAAGCTGCTCCCAAAAGCCCAATGAGATGTTACTAAAAGCACATACATTGCGATAACAACAACAAAAAATTTAATTAGTGCTCCAAAATGACTAAAATGATACATGTAAAATTATAAATATAAATTAAAGAAGTAGCAAAGGACAAGAAGTGGGTTAAAGCAATGCAGCTAGATATTCAAGATACTGGATTTTTTGGGAGCAGATAAAAAAAAGGGAGAATGACATTGAGGTCCCACAGAAGCCAAAATACAGCAAAAAGGTCCCCTGAAATGTCATAATTTTTCTGAAGTCCCAAAGGGACTTAGATGCAATTTTCAGAATCTGTAAATTACTCTCTTGCCCTGCCCTAAGCCATCAGAAACGAAGAAGCAGAATTTCATTTGGGTGAGAGTTCCCGCGCAATATGCTTGAGAAAAAAGACATTGGGAAAGAGGGAAGGAGCCATTGATGATGAAATATCCTCTCTATTACCATTAGTGAACTCCAAAGAACTTCCATGTGAATCTCCACAAACTTTCAGGTGTGAAACTTTCTTTCCTCTTCTCTCCTACCTTTCTTGACAAATTGTGCTTTTGTTTGGAAATGGGAAATCAAAAAATCGTTTTTGTGTTTTTGGGTTGCTTGTGGGTGGTTTTGGAGATGGGATTCAGAAGTTAATCAATAGAAAAGCTGTGTTTTTGGTTGGTGTGTGTTGTGATTTAAGTTGGGTGTGTAAAATGATAATGGGTGCTCTGTTTTTGGGTTGTTTTTGAGTGGTTTTCCTCTGTTCTGATGTTAGTTTAGTGGCAAAGGAAGAAAAAGATGAAGGTTAGTGAGGGTAGAAACCCTTAGCACGAAATGGGATTGTGTTGTCAATCAGGCCGCGATTGTTGTCAATGTGTGCCGTTACACTTGTCAATATAGCTCCTTAAGTTGTCAATGACAGTTGCGTGCTGGTTTATGCAGGTTTAAGTTATTGATGGTATTTCAAAGCTTTTGTTTTTGGTTTAGGATTCAGAAGTTAATGAATGGAAAAGCTATGTTTTTGGTTGGTGTGTGTTGTGATTTAAGTTGGGTGTGTAGAATGATAATGGGTGCTCTGTTTTTGGGTTGTTTTTGGGTGGTTTTCCTCTGTTCTGACGTTAGTTTAGTGGCAAAGGAAGAAAAAGATGAAGGTTAGTGAGGGTAAAAACCCTTAGCACAAAATGGGATTGTGTTGTCAATCAGGCCGCGATTGTTGTCAATGTGTGCCGCTACACTTGTCAATGTAGCTCCTTAAGTTGTCAATGACAGTTGCATGCTGGTTGATGCAGGTTTAAGTTACTGATGGTATTTCAAAGCTTTTGTTTTTGGTTTAGGATTCAGAAGTTAATGAATGGAAAAGCTGTGTTTTTGGTTGGTGTGTGTTGTGATTTAAGTTGGGTGTGTAGAATGATAATGGGTGCTCTATTTTTGGGTTGTTTTTGGGTGGTTTTCCTCTGTTCTGACGTTAGTTTAGTGGCAAAGGAAGAAAAAGATGAAGGTTAGTGAGGGTAGAAACCCTTAGCACGAAATGGGATTGTGTTGTCAATCAGGCCGCGATTGTTATCAATGTGCGCCGCTACACTTGTTAATGTAGCTCCTTAAGTTGTCAATGACAGTTGCGTGCTGGTTTGATGCAGGTTTAAGTTACTGATGGCGACTACGTCTGGAAAACATCTATTTTGCTTTGTTCACATAGGGGGAAAGTTTATAAATGATGGAGAAGATAATATGAGATATGTGGGAGGTAGTGTAAGAACAACCAATGTAAAGGAGGGCACAAGTTATGAAGAATTGAAAGAAATTATATCATCAATTGCTGGAAAAAAAAGCAACTCATTTCTTCTGAAATTCTCTGTTGTGTTTGATAAAAAAAACTTTTACGGAGTTGGTAGATGATGATGGGGTGGAACATTTGATAAAGTTCAATGAAGAAAGTGGTCATGTGTATGTCGAAGAAAATAAAAATGAGGACCACATAGAAGCAACAAGAGATAATACAATGGAGGAGCAAGATGTGTATGTATAGTTTAAGAAAACTGTTATTGTGATTTCTTAGTATGTCAGTTGTTACTGTATTGCTACCAACTTGTCAATACATGCACCCTGACTTGTCATTTTTTGCAGGATTGATCAATCATTTGGAGGTGTCAATGAATTGTCTATGTCTTCACCTACCTTATTTGATGTGATTGGAGAGCCACAATCAATTCCTTGTGCTGTTAAAATGATCCCAACACCTACACCACAAATGAATTCCACAAAATGGAAGGATTTGATTATTGGAGAAGGACAAATATTTCCAAATGCCACTACTCTCCGAAAAACATTATACAAGTACAGCTTATGCTAGAAGTTTTCGTACGTTTTCATTAAGAATAATCAGCAAAAGATCATTGTGAAGTGCAAGGTTGATGGTTGTCCATGGTATATGGGTGCATATTCAATGGGAGCACATCAAGATACTGAGTTTTTAACTATCAGAACGTACAAAAGTGAACACATTCATCATGCACAGGACAACTTAATTGTACCTCACTCAGGAAGGTCAAATTTAGCTGCTTCAATTGTGATTGATGACTTGAGGTGCAATGTTGACAAGAGTCCTAATGAAATCAGAAAGGACTTGTATAAAGAATATGGAGTGCAATTGAACTATACTCAAGCATATAGGGTTAGGAAGAGAGCACTAATGGAATTACATGGTCGAGTAAAAGATTCTTATAAGGTAATCCCTTGGATGTGTGAGAGACTCATGGAAACTGATCCTGACACAGTTGCAAGATGGGAAGGCTCAGATAGCAACCGATTTGAGAGGCTATTCATTGCATATGGATGCTCAATTAAAGGCTTTGTGGAAGGTTGCAGACCAATTATTTATATAGATGGATGTCATTTGAGTGGTCCTTACAAAGGAACTTTATTATCAGCTTGTGCATTTAATGCAAACAATGAGTTGTTTCCTTTAGCATATGGTATTGTTAGCTGGGAAACAAATGATGAATGGACTTGGTATCTACAAAATCTGAAAGAGATAACTAGATCAGCACAAGTGACAATTGTCTCAGATCGGAGTAATGCTATTATCGGTGCTGTCAAGACAGTATTTGATGGTGATAGACATGCTTTTTGCTATCAACATGTGAAAGAAAATTATAGTGCGCAGTATGTGAAAATCAATAGAGGTGTGAGACGGACCTCAGAAAATAACAAGGAGAATGCACTTAATTTACTTGATGGAATTGCATATGCAAGGCATGATAATGAGTTTAATGTTGCAATGGGAAATTTAAGATTGTTTTGTCCTCAATTGGCACAATGGGTTGAATCTCATGGGGATGTGGATAGATGGGCGCAAAGTAAATTTCCTTTTAAGAGATAGGATAACATCACCAATAATCTTGCTGAATCTTTTAATGCATGGATGTTGAAAGAAAGGAAGCACGCCTTACCGGTTTTGATACAAGAGCATCAAGAGAAGTTGGCCAAGAAGATGGTTGCTAGCAAAATGGGGATGAAAAGCTGGAAAAATGGTGTAGGACCCAATATTGAATCAAAGTTGTCGGAACAAATAGCAAGAGGTGCGTATATGGAGGCAACATATTATGGTGATGACCATATTTCGGTGCAGACAATACGTGAGGGACGCATCATCTATGTTGCTGTTGATCTGATTTCTCACAGATGCACATGTTTGGCATGGCAAATGAGTGGAATACCTTGTCCACATGCTTGTGCAGTAATCAAGCTAGTTCACCGTAGTGTGTATGATTATGTAGATGATTGTTACAAATTGTCCACACAGGAGAAAATATATGCAAATAGCATGAGGCCAATTGCAACACATGATTGCCCACAGCCTGATGCACCTACTGTGAGTCATATGCTGACCCAAACATTCTTGCATCCACCGATAACCAAAAGGCCTCCAGGAAGGCCAAGGATTAATAGGATAGAATCTCAGTTCCAAAATAAGAAGGTTTATCATTGTGGAAGATGCAAAGAGGCTGGACACACTGCCAAGACATGCAAGAACCCAAATCCCAACTGAGAACATATTGAAGTCAGCTATTTTTTGTATATGGATGTGAAGAGAATATTTTGTAAATGGGTGTGAAGGAAATTTTTTGTAAATGGATACACACCACTGGTTAGTTTCATTATGACATGCAACCCCTATGTTTTTTTTGGGATGGGTTGTGAAATAGGTGTAGTTTCATGTATATGAAGGTGTAAATGAAAGTTGGCTATGAATTGACATGTTACATTGTACTGTCATTTTAGTTGTCATTACCTGCACCCTGAGTTGTCACTAGACCTGTAATGACTTGTCAATCATTGCACTACGACTTGTCAATGAATTTGCTGATGTAAGTTGTCAACAACATGAATTCAAGTAACATAACCTTTTTTACCATGAAATTATTACAATCACTTTGTCATATTATATTTTGGTTGTATGGTCATATATAATCATTATTAATGAAGTGTCAAAAACTTACCTCTCCCTTGTCCCCTGTCAGTGGTGGCTCTGTGACAACACTGTGACATGTCAATGGAGCACTGTTGCTTGTCAATGACAACACTGTCCCTTGTCAATGGTTTATCTGGTAACTTGTCAATGGAGCTCTGTGACTTGTTAATGGCTTCACTGTCCCTTGTCAATGGTTGTACTATGACTTGTCAATGGAGCTCTGTGACTTGTCAATAAAGCACTGTGACTTGTTAATGGCTTCACTATCCCTTGTCAATGGTTGCACTGTGACTTGTCAATGGAGCACTGTGACTTGTTTGTGTGAACACTGTCCCTTGTCAATGGCCGCTGTCAAGAGAGCATTGTGACTTGTCAATGGAGTACCGTGACTTGTCAATCGGTTGCACTATGACTTGTCAATAGGGCATCATGACCTGTCAATGGGGCACTGTGACTTGTCAATGGAGCACTGTGACTTGTTTGTGTGAACACTGTCCCTTGTCAATGGTCGCTGTCAAGAGAGCATTGTGACTTGTCAATGGAGTACCGTGACTTGTCAATGGTTGCACTATGACTTGTCAATAGGGCACCATGACCTGTCAATGGGGCACTGTGACTTGTCAATGGAGCACTGTGACTTGTTTGTGTGAACACTGTCCCTTGTCAATGGTCGCTGTCAAGAGAGCATTGTGACTTGTCAATGGAGTACCGTGACTTGTCAATGGTTGCACTATGACTTGTCAATAGGGCACCATGACCTGTCAATGGGGCACTGTGACTTGTCAATGGAGCACTGTGACTTGTTTGTGAACTGTCAACTTGTGACTTGTCAATGGACTGACTTATTCTCATATCTTGTCATGTTATATTAGTTGTTATTTTGGATAACTGACGTTGTTAATTTAATAACCAACCATAATATCTCTGCACATATAAAATAGAAATATAATTAAAAATGTAATAAAACCCTAACAAATTAGTATTACAATGTGATGACAAAGGTAATAATATTATAAATATAACCTGATCAGTTTGTTACAAAATGACCTATTTGCTAATCATCTTAACAACACATATCATGGGCTAAGAGAACAAAAAATTCATAGACTACTCTATCTCCTCTTCTTGGTCTTGTTGTAGTCCGATAGCATCGACATCACTTCACTCCCATGTTCATTACTTGGATGGGTTACCAACCACCACAAACAGCCAACCTTCAAATCTTGTAGCTCATCATTAGAGTATCGTGGCATTGTATATCCTGCATCATCCCGAACAGTGCCATCCCACTCTTGTAGCCAAGAGATAACATGAACTCCACATGAATCACTACCAAGCAAATTGAATATGTTAGCACCTTGCAATTGTTATTGTGAACAAAAACAACATAACACAATCGAACAGAACTCTACACTTACGTATCATTCTGCACATAGACTTTAGCCCATTTCACTTCGTTGTCAATTTTGTCCTCATTGACAAACAATTCTGGCTTAACAGCACGTAGCATCGAATGGAAACAGTTCATCTGGAAAAAAAACACACGCACATAATGAACATCCAGTGACAAGGGACAGAACATCCAGTGACAACTCACAGAGCATGTAGTGACAAGGGACAGAGCATCCAGTGACAACTAACAAAGCATCCAGTGACAACTACACAGCATGCAATGACAACTACCACAGCATCTAGTGACAACTAACAGAGCATCCCGTGACAACATAGCATAGTGACAAGACATCATCGTGACAACTACCACAGCATGCATGACAACTACCATAGCATCTAGTGACAACTACAGCATCCGTGACAACTACCATAGTGACAACATCCAGTGACATAACAGCATGACAATAACAGGGCATCCGTGGCAACTATATATCATCCAGTGACAAGAACAGATCATTAGTGACAACTAACAACTATATCATCAGACAAGTACAAATCATCCAGTGACACAGCACAACATCCAGTGACAACTACCAGAGCATGCAACCATGCACAGCATCTGACAACTAGACACATCCAGTGACAAGGGACAGAGCATACGTGACAACTAGCATGGCATCCAGTGTACAAATCATCCAGTGACAAACATCCATGACAACTACCAGAGCATGAATGACAACTAGCACAGCATCCAGTGACAACTACGACAGCATATAGTGACAAGGGACAGAGCATACAGTGACAACTAGCATGGCATCCAGTGATAAGTAACAGATCATCCGGTGACAACTAGTACAGCATCCAGTGACAACTACCAGAGCATGTAATGAGAACTATGCAGACTGCTACTAACAATTATAATAGTCATTGACAAGTGTAAAAGCTGTAAATAACTACTCACAGTTTGTGTTGCCATGAACTGTTTGGGGTCGAACTGCCTTTTACTTGTCCTTTTTTTCTTCTTCTTTGCGTCATGTTGTTGCTCACCCCCCTTCTTCTTTGCTTCTTCTTCGGCTTGTAATCTCATGAATGTGATGCTATCAACCAACGAGTCAAGGGCGTGGAAGGTCATGGTCTTTGTCTCAAAAACATAACAAAACCAATGATCTTCAAATAGAGTAGGACCAAAAATGAAATCGCAATCCCCGATATTGTATCCAATATATTCAGGTAATATTTCTCTTTCATGGTCCTCCCATTTCCACCTTAAAGGATTCGCCACCATTTTCTGCATGAAATCTGCAGAAAATATATGACGGTTGACTCGCCCATCTTTTTCCTTTTGATCTCCAACGAATGTCTTCGCCACCATAGTCATAAACTGAAATTGCAAATACAAACAAATTACAACTACTTAGCATGCAATAACTCATTCTAATATTAACTATGTACGTGTGACTCACCCTGTCGTTTATCCATCTTCTACGTTGGAGACATTGCAACTCACCACGGGTTAGGAAGTATCCATACATCGATACAAAGTATCTAACACAAATGAAACAATTATGAAGTTAATAAATTCAGTAAATTCTGTAACATAATACAAAATTGGTCACCAAAACATAATACTTACTGCTCTTGCTCCTCTTGGTTACACCTTGCTGTACACATGTCAAATAAAGCTTGTCTGTCATCAATTGTTCTCTTTTTCCCAGCCTTGCTTTTAAATTCCAGAAATGGAGACCTAAGAGCTTTCCCCTTACTTATCACCCTTGTAGATTTCCTCACATGTTCGCTCCCTTCCCCTTGGGTGGCCTCATCCACTTCTTTGTCCTCTTCATCTTCTTCTTCTCTTTTATTTTCTTCTTCATCTTCTTTGTCCTCATTTCCCTTCTCTTTTTCCTCTTCATCCTCTTCTTTTTCCTTGTCATGTGATTCTTGTCCACCCATCTCCTTTTCTGATTGAGCTTCTTGCTCTTCTTCTTCATTTCTATCATCTTGTGATTCAGATCCTTCTTCTTCATTTCTGTCATCTTCTTCCTCATCCTCTGAATCACTTCCTTTCTCAACTTTTTCCTCTTCTGCTTCAGATTCTTCTTCCTCATCTTTGTCCTCTTCACTTACATTGCCACTACCCTCCATTAGTCTTGACTGAAGGGCCATCATTTCCTCCCCCAGCATAGACACTAATCGAGTATATGTCTTTTTGATCTCCTATACAAATAAAATTCAGAACAGTAAGCAATAGTAGAAAAACAAAAAATTAATCATTAAGCCCACAAGTCCACATACCGAGTGAGTTAAATTTTCAGGATCAAATTTGGTGGATTGCTTTGCCGGATGCAAGAGTCCTCGATTGCTTTCCTTCTCCTCCTTAACTCTTTGCTGCACTTTCTTTTCATCCCAATATGCAACAGCATCCTTTACATGTGCAGCTTTTGTTTCTCCCAATGGAAAATTTTGTAGACAATATAACTGCATGTGACATTAATGATAAGTTAACAGCAACCATTGACAACATTCAGACCATCAAATGACAACAGAAATATACAAATTATTGTAGCACTTACCATTAGGAAGTATAGACAACCCGGCACATTCTTCTTCTTCTCAGTCAACTTGCCTTTTTCCAATTGTTTCTTGTACACTCCAATCCCCTTATATAGTTCATGCAACACATAAGAGGACCAATCAAACTTATCCAATCTATCCTTTGTTGATAGTATTACCTTCAACAAATAATCACCGACACAAATACTTGCATTAGGACATAACAATGTTCCCAATGCATACATGACAAACAGCACCTCAAAATTTTCATCTTGGTTCTCCTCACTCAACAATGATGCTATCTTCTTGTATGGAATATTGCCATACACACTCCTCCACTGCTTGAACACTTCATCTTCATTATTCACAACTACTTTAATCTCTTCTCCATCAAATGGTAGCCCCAAAAATTCATGCACATCTTTTGTCCTCATTTCCCTTCTCTTTTCTCTTATTGAAATGTTTTTTGATGCAAGATCCAATGCAGACATAAACTCTCTACACAATTCTCTTTGAATTGTGTGGCAACATACTTCCACCAGCTTGTCAAAACCTATCTTCTTCAGCCTGTCCATTAGATCCTTCCTTTCTTTGATTATCTTGCAAACTTGCATAAATTGTTTTGGTGCACATCTAGTGTAGAAAGGAACTATATACTTCTTGGACTTTGTGGGAGCTCTTTGTTCCTTAGCTCTTTTACAATACTCCTCTTTTTGCTGTTTAGATAATTTGTTCCAAGCATTTCTCACATGTTCATTCCTAGATTCAAGTGATTTGTATTTCCTTGAGCCTTTCCTATAGAATTCCTCTGTGAATAAGGCATACCCAGAAAAATTACAGCTTCTTTGTTGTGCACTTTTGTTGGTTCCATCCTTCCTCATCTTCTTAACCTGCAAAACAAGACCAATGCATTGAACTTCAATTCTTTTTGAATTCCTAGTAAACTTTTGCAGTGATGCAGAGCTTCCTAGATATAGAAAAGAAAATTGATTTAAAAGCACTACGAAACAAAGAAAAAAAATTCTGACACTTATTTGATGATGTGGCATGATAACAAATGATGAATCAAATTAAAGGTGATGGATCAAACAGCACTAAATCCATTTCTGTAAATAAAACCATCAATCATGCCAAAATTATTTCTTTTAAGAGGCTATGTTCAAAGATATCATCATATAAAAATCAAGCAATTATTTTTCTAGTTTCCTATTTTGCTTCTTGTTTCAAATCATATACAAACTACATAAAAGCACAAAGTTTTCGGCTATAAATATAGTGGAGGAACTGTTCGAAGAAGGATCAGCTATGCTTGCTGAAAGGTAATGTCTTCCTTTTTTCAATACTATCAATTCACTAATTAAATGGTATACAAATTTATTGTGTTCGTGCCCTGCATATTGATTGTTGTTGTTCAAAGTGAAGGGTAATATTTGTTTAATACAAGGATCTAAAAACACAGACATAAAGGCGGGTGGGTGAATCACGGCTGGATTTTCCCTGGTATTTCATCATACAAGCTAATGCATGTGCCCTGTAATTTGTATCGTAAGGTTACCGAACAACAAAGTTCCACATATGAAGCCATCAAAAACCAAACAAAGTTCCACATATGAAGCCATCACAAAGGTTCAAATAATCAGTTATCCAATTTGAAGTAATTCTCTTTTTCAATCATTATGGCTCCTGAAAGTTTGAACATTGCCGAACAGAGCTACAACAACGAACAATGACCAAATACCAAACTCAAACACAAAAGTCCATTGCTTTACTGCTTACCGTGACAACAATGATTCCAACCTCCGATGATGCTTTCAGACTTCGGTTTCGGTCTTCACTACAATGATTCCGACCTCCGACGACGAGGATGATTCCAACCTCGGTTTCGGTCTTCACTACAGGGAGACACCAGCACTTCACTTCAAACACCAGGACAACCTCCACTTTGCTTCAAACACTGATGAACGGAGACGCCAGCACTTTGCTCCGCTTCACTTCCAAAACCGGGACTTCGCTCTGCTTCACTCCGCTTCGCTCTGCTTTGCTTCGCTTCGTTCTGCCAAAACAGAGCCACCACGACAGGCTTTCAAGGACTTCGGTCACGATTTCTGGTGGGTTGTGAGTAGATTTGAAGCAGCACGGTGGGTTGTGGCCGAATTCTCAGCACGAAGGATTTCGGACAGGACGAAGGCGCCAGACGATTTCTTCGGTCGGGGTTTCAAATTCAGTCTCAGCAATTTCAAATGGTCCGTCCAAAAGAATTTCGAATGGGAAATCATGAGTAAGGGCAAATAAGTCATTTGAAGATTCTAAAAATTGCATCCAAGTCCCTTTGGGACTTCAAAAAAATTATCAGATTTCAGGGGACCAATTTGATGTATTTTGTTCTCCATGGGACCTCAATGTCATTTTCCCTAAAAGAAAACAAATTTTTTGGATACGAAAAAAAAACTTTTTAACTACATCCGTTTGGGCTTTATATGACCTGTATACCAGCGGGTACCGGACCGTTCTTTAAGTAGATATGGAAATCTGCTACATTTTAGTCAAATAGATCTAACCCTGAAGTACAAGTCCCATGCCTTAGCTTGGGTCTGAGTCTACAGCTACATACAGCATTGTCTTTACGCTTATGCCTCAACCTTCAAAGTGTCTGACATGACTTTTTTTTTTTTAACCAAAGACAAAATAAAATAGAAAAATGACCGAAAAAAAAACCCTTGAATTAGCAAAATAGCCAAATGCACATTTGAATAAGCTTAATTGTTTGGAAGGACTGGGTCTTAAATTGCAATTATGAAATTAAGCAAAAAAGATTAAAATGACCCTCTTCTCTCTCTCTCTCTCTCTGTTTTTTTTTAATCACCCCATCTCCTTCTCTTTCCTTCTTCTCTTTCTCTTTCTCTCCCTCTCTTCTCTGCTTGCGATGGAGGAAGCTTAATTTGAGATTTTAAAGCCCTCTGAATTTGTTAACAGGTTTTCTTATTAGAATTCAAGCTTACTAATGGGATGTCCTAATATATTACAAAATTTTGCTTTAGCCAATGATCTAATTAGAGGAATAATCGGAATTATTGTATCAAGCTTTTTCATAAGATTTTCCATTATAAATGACTTTTCCAACATTTGACTCCATACCACTGAAGGATTTATCCACACATTTGAAAAATAGCCCAAAAAGTAAAATTACTTTACTTTAGAAGCTAAGTTTTAAGCTTTACTTATGGGTTTGCTGTTCATTTCAATTTAACTGTGCATTTCTCATGCTATTCTCTCTCTCTCTCTCCCCCCCTGTTTCAAGATAATAGCATTGATAGGTTGCAGCAAGAATGCCAAGAAAAGGAGCCTGAGAACTTGCAATTTTTTGATGCTGATCTTATAAATCTCAAGCATCCTATATCCCTAAGGAAAAACAAGTTTATGAGAGGTCTGATTATGGGG